TTCACTGTAGGGCGCATGCACTCACCAGACAGACAGAGAGAGACAGAGAGACAGAAAGCGAGAAATCACCCCCCAGGGGGGATGGTCATGCCGCAATCCCTTCTCCTCCATTCTCCTCTTGGGATCTTGGGCATGCACGCACACGCGCCCGGCGTGAGTTTTAAGCCACCGGGTCCGGGACACGAACCTCGGTCGACTACGTGGGAGTCCAGCGACATAGCCGTTACGCTAACTGCTGGTTCCCATCACATGTAATTCTCATGACAGCTTCTGGTGTGCACACTGTCATTCTCTCTACAGACTAAGCAGTGCATTCCAACATCACGGAGCTCGTGGCTGAATGAGACAAGAGCCACACACAGGTCTGCCCAACGTCAAAGTCTGAATTTGTACTGGGTCCACATTATCATTTATTTTCTACTCTTTCTCTATGTTTGATTAAAATCTCTCCCTTCACCTGTTCCAATAACACTGCCCTAATGTGAGCCTCATGGAGAACTCTGGTCTCAGTGTCCTGCTTTATCTTTCCAGCTCATCAACCTGCCTGGCTTCTCTTCCTCCCTGTCAACCTGGTTGCTATTATCAATCAGTTCAGCTACATGTTTACCAACTACCTCAACTCCCCTGATCCCTTAATCTTTCCTGCACAGGCTCTTCGATGTCCAGACCTGAATTAATACAACCACCTGTTTCTCCCCTCACTGCCCTGCCAATGGGGGCTACTGGGTAAAATCCACTCACATGCTCACCTTTAGCCTTTGTGGAATTTTCATCCTCACGCATGAATCCTTTATCCTGCTCAAGTTGCCTTTCTTTCCCACACCCCACAGTGAGGACGCTCAGGCTTGTCTTTGTCTTCAGGCTCCCCGCCAGGTCCCTGCCCTCATTCTCTCAGCTGGTGAATAAGTGCTCTACGTCTCTGGGAAAACTGAGACCATTAAACATGAACTTCAACTTTCCTTAAAAATCCCATGGTCTTGGGAACCAGCAGTTAGTGTAATGGCTATGTCACTGGACTCCCACGTAGTCGACCGCGGTTCACATCCCGGACCCAGTGGCTTAAAACTCACGCCAGGTGCGTGTGCGTGTGTGCCCAAGATCCCAAGAGGAGAATGGAGGAGAAGGGATTGCGGTGTGACCATCCCCCCTGGGGGTGATTTCTCGCTTTCTGTCTCTCTGTCTCTCTCTGTCTGTCTGGCGAGCGCACGTGCCCTATAATGAAAAACCTCTCCAAAAAAAATTAAAGAAAAATAAAAATAAATAAAAAATAATCCCATGGACTTCCCTCGTTCTGTCCCCACCTGTTACCCAGATTTCAAATATTCTGGTCTTCAGTAAGACCTCACTTTGTCAAAAAAGTCACCCAGACCCCATCTTGCTATAAAGTGCTCACCATTTCCTTATGTTTATCAAAGCCATACCGTTCTCTTCCTAGTCCCCTACAATCTCTCTTAGGTCCCTCTGGAAAGACTTAGGTCCACAGTTCCTACGCCACTCCTCTTCTTGATGAACATGTGAAGTTTCCAAGAATGCTCACTATGCCCCCTTTGAACCTCCGTCTCCCTGAACTTCTGTGATGGCACACTCTTAACCTCGGGGCGGCTACCCAGGGTCTGCTCTTTTATCCCCTTCTCTTCTCACTCTACCTGCCGCCCCTCCTCTACTGAATAGATTTTATCTATACACAGGAATACAAATACCATCCACATGCAAAACCAATTTCCCAAGCCCACGTCTCGGTTGAAGACTAGAGATCTGCACATACATCGTAAAAACTGTGCATCAGGAAATCAGCCCAGCCTCCACCCTTAAACCAAGGAGTTCTGTAGTCTCGGTTTTAGTGAATGGCATTAACACTGGTCAGATCACCCAAGGTGAAATTTTAAAACCACATTTCACTTCTTATCAATTATTCTCATACATGTACCCAATTGATATTAAGTCCTATTGACTTAATACCATTAGTCATTCATTCATATCAAAATACAAAATCACCTGCATGTGAAGTAAATAATCCATTCCAGCTGCAGTTGTGCACCACCCAGGCCACCACACGTTCTGTGCCAGGATGCCACACATGGGGATGTAGAATGGACAACAGATGACATTGCCTGCTCTTACAGCTCTCAGAATGGAGGGGCTTGGATGTATGTAAGATAAGCATCAAATAAGTGAAAAATTACAGAAGACGTCAGGACTGATGATGGAGTCAATAAATGAAGAATGTGAAAAAGACAAAGCCTTAAGTAGAAGATATGTGGACTTGCGAAGAGTCCAGTAGGCAAATGTCCTGGAGTAGGAGCATTGTGGGACATGATTGCCACTGGAAGGCCAGTGTGGTTGAAGCAAAAACCAAGGGGAAATTGTGCAGAATAAGGAGGAGATCAGGAGGGGAGCAGAGCATGTAGAAGCTAGACCACATAAAGGAGTTCTGTCTCCATTTGTTCTGACAGCACTGGTAAGGCAATTAAGACAGCTATAGATATTACGTGGGAGAGAGAAGACAGAGACACACACACACAGAATGAATCTATTTTGAAATTTGAAAAACTACTCTGGCTACAGTGTAGAAACCAGCTTGGTGATAAGTGAAAGTACAGGCAGGGGAATATTTAGGTAGCTCTGGCAAGATTCATGGTGAGAGAGAGCGGTGAGGGGTGATGTTCTCTTGGATCAATGTGGAATTGGAGACAGGTGGACAGGTTGATGTTAAGAGATAAAATGAACAGATCAGTGATGCAAAGAGTATGGGATGAGAGGTAAGAACATCACATTAAGTCCTCCCTAAATTCTTGGGTGTTAAATTGGGTGGGTGATGATGATCTGAACTGACTCAGAAAACGGGGATGAAGAAAAGCGCTGGAACTGTTGGGGGGTCTTGACTTCAATTCTAGACAATTAGTTTGCAGGGATTTTTGGCCTTCCAAGAGGAGATATGCATTACAAGTCTGAAATTCAGAGGAGGAATGAGGCTGCACTTAAAGGTAGGTGTTGTCTCTAGATAGATGGTGCATGAAGTCAGGTGTAGATGAGCATATCTCTCAGGGAGAAAGACCTCAGGGAGGAAAACCTGAGTGCAATGAGAAGAGAGCATATGATCAACCCTGAGCGCTCTAATATTCACTGGTTAGGTAAATGAGAATGAGTGCAGAAAGTAGAGAAACAACAAGAGAAGAATGAAAGCCAGGAGCGTGCTGACACCTGAAAGGTAAGGGCAGAGAGTAATCATGGGAGCCAAAAGGTGCTGAGAGTTCAAGAAAGGGCATGTGGAAAGACTTCTGTTCACTAGAGCTACTTACATACGAAGTTGTGGGAACCAAAGCCACATTGAAATGGCTGAGAAAAAAATGGAAGCTGAAAAAAGAAGAACATTGTATTTTAAGAAGCTCAATGAAAGAACGAGGGAATAAGAGCAATAGCTGGAGGAAATACAAGGCTAAATTTGACTTGTATCTAATTGAAAGGGCTTGAACACAATTAAAAGCTAGCTAATAGGAAAAATGTAAACTGGAGAAATCTAAGAGAAAAAGGAAAGATAATTGATATGTGTTTTGATGCTCCTGAAGAAACAGGAGTAGGTGGGGTCTAGTGCTCAAGATAAGGCGTGGAATTAGTTCCCAGAAGAGAAGCTTCCTCTACTATAACAGAGGAAAAAGGGGAAATATTGGGAAAAAATGCAACATATGTATAACTGGAAAAGACAAACTCTTATTTGGCACCTTCTATTTTATTTTTTTCTATAAAAAGGTATGAAATAAAGTAAATTGAGCTAGAACTTCTGCCCCCGGAATGATGGATGGCTGCGCTTCTCCCTATTCTTCCTTCTAACTACAACTGAAACACCTGGGCTTTACATAAACAAAAGAAGGCTAAAGAGTGGAGGGAAATGAGCAGAAGGACTGGGTCTTTGATCTAAGGCATGACATGGTGCTGAGTTGCACTTCATGATTACACGGTGCTAATTATGCAATCTTCCCATTAGGATGTCAGTGGGGGCACAGCAGGAAGCTGAAACTTCCACACAGAATAGCAAGGAGTCACCTACCTTGAGTGTTAAGGAGGCCAACTGGTAAGTTTGAACTTCCATTCCAATATGACGGTAAACCGGAAACATCTATATTTTTCTCAATCAGAGAACTGTCAGTAAGATGAAGCCAGATTAAACAGAATATTTCAAAAGATCCAGAGTTTTATTGCATAATATCCCAAATTTCAAGGTTTCAACTGAAAATTACACATAGACCCCAAAACCTGGAAGATCTTAAACCATATGAAATGAGATGATCAATAAATGCCAGCATTGAGCTCGCTTCGGCAGCACATATACTAAAATTGGAACGATACAGAGAAGATTAGCATGGCCCCTGCGCAAGGATGACGTGCAAATAAATGCCAACACTGAGATGACAGGGATATTGGAATTACCTGACAAAGATGCTAAAGCAGTTATCATTTAAAAGTTTTATATTAACAATTAAAAACAGAAGTGAAACAAATGAAAATGAAGAACACAAGAATGAAAGAAAACAACAGAAAGGATAAAAAGGAGGTCTCAAGAAAAAAAACAAACATAGAAAGAAAATAAAGGATATAAACAAGACCTAAATGAAAATTTTGGAACTGAAAAACAAGTAAGAAAGGTAAAAATAAAGTAAAACAGTGGCTAAGGTCAATAGCAGATTGAAGGAGACAAAAAAAAGAACTAGTCCACTTAAACATAAAAAACATACATGACTAGGTGGTGGTATAGTGGTAGCACAACTGGATACACATGAGAAAGGACCTAGGTTAATGTCCCAGAACCTACTCAAGCATTCTGGGCACAATAGTGCCCCTACTCTGGGAGAGCTGACTGGGGGGTGGGGGGGGTTGGGGGATCATGGAGTAAGCACTCTATTGGTTATCTCTCCCTCTCTCATGAAATAAACTTAAAAAAATTAAAGAGTATAAAAAGAAATGGCATTCATGTCACCAGAGTCCCACAGAAGGAGAGAAAAAGAACAGGACTGAAGAAGCATTTTTTTTTAAATAGCTGAAACTTGGGACAGCAGGTGGCATGGTGTTTGAGTTTCAGTGGCTTGAGAACTGAACCTGATGGCTTGAAAATCATACCAGACACGTGTGCATGTGTTCCTGAAATCCTTAGATAAGGATAGAGAAGGAATCGAAGCACAATCATCCTCTGAGGGGTGATCTCTCATTTTATCTCTCTTTCTCTGGTGAGCACACATACCCTATAGTAAAATAAATAAATGAGAAACGTTCTAAATTTCACAAAAGACATAAATCCATGTATTCAAAAAGCTTAGTGAATCAAAAACAAGATAAAGCAAAATAACCTTTTCACATAAAGACAGATCATAGTCAATTTTCTGAAAACTAAAGACAAAAAAATAGCTTGGAAGCAGTAAGAGAAAAACAAACCCTGCTATATAATGGGGAAAATGTGAATAACGATAAAATAAATCATGGAGGATAAAAGTAAGTGACAACTTTTTCAAGTGCTGAAAGAAAATGTCAACCCAGAATTCTATACCCAGTCAAAATATCCTTCAGCAAAGGAGGGGAAGTAATGGTAGTCTCAGATAAAGAAATACTAAGAGAATTTGTCACCAGCAGATCTATAACTAACAACAAAACAAAAAACAGACAAATGAAAAAGAACATAGAAAGTGATATTGGAACATTGGGAAGAAAGAAAAAGCATGGTAAAGCAAAAACAGGCAAAAATAATAGACTTCCCTTTTCCCATTAAGTTAACTAGAGTTTGATGGTTGAAGAAAAAAATTAAACACAGTCTGCTGTGGTTCTAATGCATTTAAAGTAAAAATATAAGGTAAAATGGTGGGAAAGGACATAAGCTTACAACATTGGTAAAAGGACAACCCCAATAGAGAATGATAAGTCATGTGCGTATAATATAATACCTAGAGCAACCGCTAAGAAAACTATGCAAAGAAATACACTTAAAATCACTACATAAAATGGAAAATGAAATTTTTAAAACTGCTGACATAACCTACAGGAAATCTTGGAAAAGGAACAAAAATATAAAAAAAGAAGGAAAGAAAAGATGGTAGATTTAGTTTAGCAAAATAATAATTGGGATGAGAGGTGACGGGGCCATGCAGACAACACAAATTGGTAAAGAGGCTGTCTCCCACGGCCTGGCAGGGAAGAAACAGCAAGACCAGGCCAGCGGTTTACTAACTCTCCTTGTGTCATTTTACTGGCCTATAGTTCATTTCTCTGCCGTGAGTTTTACTGTTATTACGGTATCTTGCAAGAGTAAGATATACCAACCATTACCATAAAGCCAATTAGTGATCTTGTAGGAATGTGGTTCCCTAAGACTGACACCGAGGACCAGGAAGTTTAAGACTACCCCACCTGTCTGTTTTTAAGCCAAAATTAACATATAGATTAAGTTAGTATAAATCAAATTAGCATTAGAAGTATATGTAGACTAAGTTAGTTTAAGGTTAGTTTTATGTAGATACCCCTTATTAAAGCTACAGGCCTAAGTTAACTCATGCTAGGCAAAGTCAGCACATTCACCACATAACAGAGACTCAGAGATAAAACAAAAGAACTCACTAATTGACAAGACTCAACAAACAAAATGCAGGAACCCACAGATTTATTAGAGGAAAAAGCCTGGATGGGACAACAGAATAAACAAAGCTGAGGGCTCCACAGAAAGATTAACCATTTTAGCTGGGAGCTCTTATCTAAAACAACAGGTAGCTTTCAACTACAAAGAGTTTAACCAGCAACGTTATCGCCCTGGCCCGGGACTGAAGTTGTCAAACATCCTGCAAGCCCCCTCTTCAAAAGACTCTTCCCAGTAATCAAGATCTAAGGAGAAGATACAGCAGACAAATGGACTTCCTCATCCTGAGAACTGTGATTGACTTTACCTGAGCTAACAAGACAAACAGCATGTTTTATAATTATTGCTTCCATGCTTTGTATACCCTGTTCCTTAGAGTAAATCTTTTACTGCCCCTCACCCATTTACTTGCATGTATCACATTTTCAATAAAAAGGCACGATGATTCCTAGCAGTTGTCACTCCTCAGAGAGCGATCTTTGAGGGGTGTCCGGCATAGGACGTGCATGAGAAAGCATCGAGGCCTCTGTCTTCTGTTCACCTTCGCTGCCTCCGTTGAGATAACCCATTCACGCCGAGGCTGGTCCCCGGCAGAGAGGTATTTACAAAGTGAAAAACATGAACCAATTATAAGCTATTTATTAAAAATTAAAAACAGTAATACAGGTGGTCTAAAAGTAAAGGGTAAAAAGATACATCATGTGAACTTTAATCAAAGGAGAATAGGGTGCTTATATTAATACTATATAAAGTACACTCTAGAGCAAAGAAAATAATCACCAGGCATGAGAGGGGTATTATATAGGTTAAAAAGGTCCAGTCACCAAGAAAGCATAGAATCTTAAATATGTATGTGCATGCAAAATATAAAAAGCAAAAATAAATACATATGAAAGAGGAAATAGAAGGGAACCAGCAGTTAGCGTAATGGCTATGTCGCTGGACTCCCACGTAGTTGACCACGGTTCACGTCCCGGACCCGGTGGCTTAAAACTCACGCATGTGCGTGTGTGCACAAGATCCTGAGAGGAGAATGGAGGAGAAGGTATTGCGGCGTGACCATCCCCCCTGGGGGGTGATTTTTCACTTTCTGTCTCTATGTCTCTCTCTGTCTGGCGAATGCACGCCCCCTATAGTGAAAAAAACCTCTCCAAAACAAAAAAAAGAGGAAATAGATAAATCAATAACTGTAGTGGGAGACTGAACACCCTCTCTTTCTTTATTATTTATTTAATTTTATTTATTATAATTATTTTTTAATTTGCTATAGGGTATGTTCACTCACCAGAGAAAGACACAGAGATAGAGAGACAGAGATAGTGAGAAAGCCCCAGGTCTGGGACTTGAACCACTGTTGGCCATGTGGGAGACCAGTGCCCCAACCACCATGCCCCCTGATGGCCCCAAACAGTCCCTCTTGAGAATCATAAAACAACTAGTTGAAAATCAATAAGGATATGGAACTCAACAATACCATTTATCAACAATAGCTAATCAACATCAATAGACTATTTCACCCAACAATAGCAGAATACATGTCCTTTTTGATTGTTTAAAAAACATCTATGAAGATATGCCATATCCTGGACCATAAAATACTCCTTAAAAAATTGAAAAGAATTGAAGTCATACAAAGTACCTTCTACTACAATGGAATCAAACTAAAAGTCAATAATAAAAGTATAACAGAAAAAAATCTCCCAACACCTGAAACTAACTGACACTTCCAAATAAAGTGCAAGTGAAAGACAAAATCTTTTGAAATTATTCTTACAAGTCATTGGACCAGAAAATCAAAATTTGCAAGACACAGCTAAAGCAGTGCTGAGAGGAAAATTTATACACTTAATAAATACATCAGAAAAAGGGAAAGTACCAAAACAACAGTCTAGCCTCCCAAGACCCTAGGAGGAAAAGAGTAAAATCAAGTTAAAGCAAGCAATAGGAAGGAAAAACTAAAGAGCATAAATAAATAAGATTACAAAGAAATGGTTTTAAAAAAATCAATGGAACATTTACTTCTTTGAGGTATTAAAAAACTAAAAAATCTCTTGTAACATTGACAAAGGAAAAAAAAGACAAAAATTACTAATATCAGGGTTCAAACAGAAGATGTCACAATAGGCCTTGTAGACATCAAAACTATGCTGTAAAGATTTATGATGATTACATGTAAGTAAAATATAAAACAAGAAAATACTATGCATAACTCTACAGACACATATTTGATAACTTGGGTAAAACATGCCAAATACTCAAAAAAACACAAATTACCACAATTTATCCACTATAAAATAGATCATCTTAATAGCCTTGTAACTGAATGAAACTGAATTTGTTATCTGCCCCCCAAAATAAGTGCATAAACTTTCACTATGCAGTCTACCAAACCTTTAAGATGAGTTAATACCAGTTCTACACAATATTTCTCAGGAGACAGAACAAGACCACTCCTAATTACTTTCATGATGCTGATTTAAGATAAAGAAGACAGAACAACAACAAAAACTACAGATAGATATCCCTGACCACTAAAGTTCTAATATTCTTTATAATATATTAGTGAATAGAATTCAGTGATATATAAAAATAATTACATATTACAACCTAGTGCAGTTTATTGCAGGGATGTCTGGGGCAGCTTAATATTTGAAAACCAATTCTGTAACCCATCACATTAAAAAGCTAAGGTAAAGCTATACCAAGATCACATTAATTGAAGAAGAAAAAGCACCAAATTCAGCACCTATATATGACAGAACCTCCTAGAAAAATAGAGAGGAACCAGGAACAAAG